CCTGATAGTTGTGATCGGTGTTATTCTTGTTAAAGTTTAGAAGATTAGCTTGTCAAGACATATCTATTCTTGTCCACACCTGTCTTAACTACCGTGTAAATTAAAAATATTTCAAATACTTTTTTTTTTTTTTTAAATAAGGTTCATTTCAAAATTGTATCTATGTTTATTTTTTCTCATTGTAATCCTACAGCTTCTTTCAACTATTAGACAAGAAAATATTTTCCATCTCCAATTAGGTTTATTAATTATTGGTGCGATTGTATAGGTTAAGTCTCAAAAGTATATTAAGGTCACCTATTGTTTAAGATTATATTATTATTATAACTGCTGGTAGAACATAGGGCATTTACAATTGCGTTCCATTCTGCTCTTTTGCAGCAATCATTTTTGCTTCTAGCTAAGTCTTGCCAGCCCGGCTCAGGTCATTTTATTCACTTCATTTTATCGAAGTTGATTTACAGTCCAAATCGATTTGCTATTCGGCTTAATGCATCTAACTTGTCCTCAATATCACTGAACCACTCTGCATGAAGACTAATGTTACCTAAAATCGGTCTTGGTCTTGTACTTTGCAAGACCAAGACGAAGGCCGCCTAACTGTGGCAAGACCAAGACCAGGACTGGTATAAAAAATCGATTTTTTAAAATAAAAATCAAGGCGAAATAGTTACTAATAGTAAGCAATCTTAGTCACTATAAGTTAATAATTGGTATACTTTTTCATGTAACTCCTCTAATTTTTCATTCGGGCTTAGTTAGGTTTCTCCTATCTAAAAAATTGAAGACAGATCTTCGGCTTTAATTAAGACAGTCTTTAATGGAAAATTAAAGACCCTACTGTATTCCGCGTCTTTGATTGCATAAGATATATTTACAAATGTATATATTCCATGAAATATGTCGACAATATAACTGCAAAACCTCATTGCTTCTACTTCTCTTTATATAGGGAGGCAAAAAAACTTCAATCACTCTGAAGTCCCATTTTGTCAACTCTTAAGTTTGTTGATTATTGTTTTTATTTAACTTAATTATTATTATTATATAATTATTGTCACCGTTGACTCTCGATGTAGCTAGCGCATCTACAATTGCGTTCCATTCGCTTCTGACCAAAAGGCGCTTCAGGTCATTTTTTACTGATCTGCACCATGTTTCTCTTGGTCTTCTTTTTCGATGGAACTATCTGATTTCCTTTAAGTGTGTCTAGAACTTTTCAGACGTGTATGTAAAAATTATATAAAGATCTGAAGGCGTCGGATATTAAAATTGATAGCTGATCATAGCTCGACATTTCTGTGGCATCATGAAGCAGTACACTATCCTTTTTTGTTTATTTTTAACATCGGTTTTTAACCTCTGTCAATTTTTAGAATTCACACTATCGGGGTTTTTTTTTTCTCGAAAGAGTGGCTTTTTCAATTATATTTTAATGATTTATGTTTATTTTGAAAACAATTTTACTTTTATATTATACTTACGAGAATAGAAATAGTTCTCTATGCGCCATTTTAGGGAATGTCTTTGACCTGATAACTTTTCACCGGAATGTGAACTGTTTAATTTGGAACGAAATTAAAATTTATCGGACATTCGGTACTTTCCAGCAAGCGTTCGACTAATCGACCAATTTGGTTAATTGGTGGAGTAGTTTGGTAATTGGGGTTATTAGGTCAAGTCGGAGGAGGAAACTCATCACATCTGGCAATAAGTCGAATTATTGTTGGGCACAATATGGTGTCGGGATGGAATAGATTGCAGAATTTTGATTTTTCTAGAAATGCTTCATAAATACACCGACTTCCGTAAACCTTTAAATGATATAAATAATACTCCATCTTGACTGCTTGGGACCCTCGTTTGAGATAATGCTTGTAATTGCAGGTTATTTCAACACTTGAAAGTTTTAAATATATATATATATATATATATATATATATATATATATATATATATATATATATATATATATATAATTAGTTTAATTTCTGTTAGTTATTTCGTTAAGTTTATTTATTTCTTACTTTCCAAGCATCTACATAGCTTGATATGTGTCTATTAAATGTCTATTAAACATGCTTATTAGCTATCATTGGCTCTCACTTAAATTGTAAATGTCTTAGCGTGTTTTCAGAGTACAAGTAATTTATTTAATACTATTAAATAATAAGAAAGGAAAATAAACACAAGGACAAATAGGTTACTTAAATTTAGTTTTACGTTGTTAGAAAGGGCCTATCGATAAGTTAATCGATATATTTTATCGGTTTAAAAAATAAAATAAAAGAACAATTTTCAGGCGAAAGTGTCGACTCATGTTACTGGCAATTATAGAGCTGATATTCCATCCTGAAAGCAATCTTGAGATATTAAAAAAAAAAAAAACATTTCTCACCTATAAATATTTATTGTAATCGAATAAATAAATTATTACCTTGATATCGATTACCGCAGGGCACAACTATCGAAAGTAATAGAAACAGCAAGTAGCAATAAAATGATTTTAAGTTTTTCTTCAATTACATTGGGGTTCATAAAATGTTATTATGATCAATATGTTCTTGATTGTAAACGGTATGATCTTTTAGGCAATTCTGACTAGAAAAAAAATCATTATATAAATAAATTAATCGTTGTTCATTATGCAATTTTTCATTTTTTAAAATTATTGCTTTTTATTCATTAATGTTAGTGTAAAATAATAATAATTATAATAATAGTGGATGCTATTCTGTTATCTAAAAATGCATTACTTATAAATTATAAAATTTCGCGCGTTTGGCTAATTATTATTATTTATTATTATTTAATGAAGCATTTATTCATTTTTATTTGTTAGCTAATGTAAGTGCTCTAATAACTATTTTTGAAATATTCTGTATCTAAAATTACTTTGCTAGTCTAACTAATTTCAGTGAGTTTTAAGATAATAATATATTTGAATTTATTTGATAACAAAATGTTGTGGAAGTATATTATTTTTCATAAAAACATAGAAAAATTTATTTTAGTACGTTTAATGTATAGTTTAAACGTGGCTCAGCTAAAAAAAATATACATAAAATAAAATATGTCATAGTATCGTAAAGATTGAAAGTCTCTGAGTTAGTCTGTTAAATTCTGTTAACTACTCTGATAACTGTATCTTAAATAACCGGTGTCTAAAATTATATTTTTATTCTAACCAATTTAAGTTGTTTACGGCTTAAAAAATATACATAAATATTAATAACGATGTGAATAATCAAACCTTTTAACAACCCAATACTAGTAGTTTTTTATAAGTTAATTATTTTTTGTTTGTTACAACTACTGATATATATCTAATCAACAGAAATGACCGCTCACATCTGGAACTATTATATCTAATGCATTACAAATTATACGTTTTGCCATCTCTTCATCTGACTGCTACAAACCTGTCATGCGATAAGATCTTAACTCTCAAGCTTCTGAGTGCTTCTTTCTTCAGTTATCTCTTTCTTGTTTTTTACTTTCAACGTATTCAGTGAATATAATCATTTATTCTAACTATATATTAGGATATACATAAATATTTAATACATATTAGTGTTTAATTTTTATATTTAAGATTTTAGTTTTTGTATCCTCATGCATATTATGCCAATCATTATTCATCACAAGTCTGCTGATTGTCAATACCATGACAGGTGCGGATACATATTTGAAGTGAAAAAAAAAAAATGTTATATTATACAGTACTATAAAATTATGGAAGTCATCGTTAATTTGTTTAAATATGTATAAAAATTATGTATATTTTAAATTTGATTTCCTTTTTTTTCTTATTTTTTATAAAAGATATACAAACAAAAGATTATAATCTTTATGAAATCCTGCCGAAGATCCGCGCTGAAAAATTATCTACAGATATATTACTATTTTTATGTTTACATAAAATTAATTTATTTATAAAAATAACGAAAAGAAATGATAAATACACAATATTTCAAACACTTATAAGCTGAATATTACTACCTGTCCAACACTTATATTAATTTACAAGCGTACAAAAGTAAAATACATATATTTGATTAAGACGAATTGTTGAAACTTCATAGATATTATGTATTGACGGTCGGCAATGAAAACTCGATTTTGGAGAATTTTACGAAATTAAAATAAGTGTTAAAAAAAATGTAAAGCGATACTGATTTAGTTCCTATAGTGTTTACTACATAGTAAAATCCTTATTTACTACAAAGATATCTTTAATATCTTTGTAATTTAAATTGTTGAAACTGAAGTTATGTGGTTCAAATAAGCTGATGGAGTTACGAGGTTTTCATTGTCTACTGCCGATGTATATATTTTTATTTTAAAAGTCAATATTATGAAATCAAGGAACTTCTAAACTTCCTGTTAGTTATCGATAAACTGGTTGCTGATGTCGCGGTTTAACATCTTAACATATTCTTGTTTCGTGACGTCATAGGCCGTTGCGAACTAGACGTTCTTCAAGGATAGCAGCATTTTTTATTGGAACGTAACACTTGACAGAACGAATAGCTGCCAACATAATCGAAAGCCTTGAGAATATTTACATCGATTTATTTTTTTAATATTAAAGTGTTTAGATAAGTTAAAAACGATTTCAAAATATATTTTGACAAATATTGTCGAAACTCTTGTTGAAATAATTCAGCTGACACATAATGTTGGACTTTTGTTTACTCGCGGATCAACAAAGAAGAAAAATAGGTAAAAATCTGAAAAAAAAGTTATAATTATTACAAATTAATATAAGTTATTCAATTTTTTATATGAATGTGTATTCTTTCATTTATCTTCTATCGTATTGTGTTGTCCACAGTTTTACTCCTAATTTCATTGTTACTTTAACAGTTGTTCCCCATATAAAATGTATTTTTACTACAATTTTTTTATTTTGTTCACCCTGTTCTTATCGTGTAGCATTAAAGGAGGTGGTGATAAAATTTTGTAAAGTAACTAATTAATGAATGTTTATTTTTTAGATGATGAGGACTAGCACAATATGAAGGTAAAAAACCGGAGAAAGTCCGGCTGTTGCTCGGTGAACTTCGCCAAGAACTTTTTTCATATCTACAACTTCATATTTCTTGTAAGTTAACAATTAAATTTTAATTTGTAAGTTATTATTCATAGGTACTATTTATAGTTTGCTTGTTTTTGTTGCTTTATGAATAAAAAAATACTGGAATTCTTAATTATGGATCTAAGAAAATTAATTTTTATCGACCGTGAGTCTAACTTTTAGGTTAGAACCTAGCCATCATTTAGGCTCACTCAGGCTTTATAATAATCTACTACTAACCTTACATTTACAGATCAAAGGAAAAATAATAACTGACTACATTTGATTTCAAGTAAGATTCATTAGATAAAAGTCAGAGAAAAGCAAATAGCGAATACATAAGTGGCATTTTGGATTAGATCGGAGGATAGGCTTTGTCTTATAAATCTAGATTTCAATACGAGTGATCATATTAATACAGGTTGAACCACGCTTGGGTGTTACCTCTATCCGAACCTCAGGTTTACTTAGTCTTAATATCGTTTCATATTTTGGATATAGTTAATTGCTGTAATGTATTCTATATATTTCGGTGATGCATTAGAATGGGAAGTAGCTCAGAATGTGTTCGCCATATTTCTCGATTTCTAAGCAGCCTATGATTACATAGACAAAATCTTGTAAGATTACGAAAAATGTGAAAGTTCCATGTATTTAAAGATACCTAAGCTAGATACCTAACATTTGATGATCCTAAATGAGTCATAATACAAGGAAAAATATCTGAAGCATTTAAAGTTCGAACTGATTTAGAAAAAGGATCTGGATTATCACCGATGTTGTTATATTGAAAATATCATTGTAAAAGGTAGTAAATACAAGATATTGTGAAAATAATAATAGAATCATAAAATCCTTGAGAGCATTAAGCGACTCGCTAACACTCCGATGAGAGAAGCACAGCAAATCGGCCTACTGGTAATTGAAGATAATACAAAATATGATAATGAGCAAAAAATTCCATTCCAGCTATAACATTTGCATATAGAGAAAATTGTTCCCTAATGTAGAAAATGCAAATATCTCAAATCCATTTTAACCACAATGAAGGTCCAGTCGTCAGAAACAGACCAAGAAATAAAAGCGCAAACAGAGCTTCCTTCCTCCTCATTTTCAAGGATATTGAAATATCGAAAAATATCTAGCAAAATTAGAGGGTTATCGGACAACCGGAGCGATCTCGGACGAGTGTACTAAGACTTGAAGAAGGACCAATAAATAATTGCTAACAGACATTTGTCAATCAATATCTCGTGATTTTAAGGAAAGGAGGTTAATTGGGTGGGACATGTAGCTGGTTGCAATCCATCAGGCTATCAATAGCTAATGCCTTGTGTAAGTGCAAGAGACTACGTGGGAGGCTAACAACCAGAAAGATAGATCGAATCAACGAAGATGCTGCAGAGCTTCATGCAGATGGCGGCAAAAGCTCTAGAGAAGGTCTGTACTACCAACAGAAAAAAACAACAAAAGGATTTACAGATACTTCAAACTTTTTATTGAGAAAAGACTTATTTTGAATTTTAAACCAGAGCAGTATCGGTTAAATCAGCGAAGTTTCCTTATGACCGACCAAACCGCTTTAATGGCTATCGGAGCCAGCTATCGGTGTTGCTATCTATTGACATATTGCCGAAGGAGGAAATTTAAAAATCGACCTCGGCCCCGATAATACAACACCGCTTGGGTTTTTATTATTTTGCCAAAATGGGGACCCGCACGCCCACAAGTTGTTGAATTTTAATGCGGCCCTAGTGAACCCTACCGCGCTCAGGATGTGGTTTATAACCGGACAGTTAAATTATCATTTAACTGCCCGTCCATATACCACACACGTTGGAGGTGATTTTATTTCCCTTCCAAATCATTCATTTTATTGTTATATATATATGTTGTAGATTCTACTACTATGTTCGACTCTCAAGAACTTTCATTCTTTCATAAATGGAAAATTTTTCAGTACGCTTCTAAAAGTTTTATTTATAAAATATAATTTCATTATTTCCGGTTTTTTCAGTCAAAGAAGCAAACTCTGAAAAATCAATGCAGGCCAAAATAGTTAAACAATTATCTCTGCTAGCGAATGTTACATCTGTTATTTTATGTTTCATACTTATATTAATGATGTCTTTTTTGAATGTTGAATATGTGAATTCCAACAATCCCCATCTGCAATAAAAATGTTATATTTAACCTTGGGCATACGAGCGACATATCATAAATATTCTTTATTATCGATTGCAATAAGCGCGTGAAGTAGAAGGTATGCACAAGCCGATATGTAATGGAAGGGTTGTCTTGGCAACGAATTGACGAGTTGAGCTTCAGTGATTACTAAAAATGGTAAACAGCTTGAACCCGTCCGTTGGACTGGGTCTAGCATGAAAGGACAGTATTTGGCAGGTCCTGACCTTGTAGATTTGGTTTTTGATTAGATTCATTGGCGGGCAGTCTGCAGGCTAAGGTTGTTCGTTTTTTCTATATCGAAGCTCCGAATTTTTTGGTAATTCTTCAACCTTTTTGAGATATGTATATATAAATATATATATATATATATATATATATATATCTTGTTTATTTATTATTCTATCCTCCTCTGCCAATGCGGTAATACCTTTGTCAGTAGTATGGGTTGTTATGCACAAATGCAGAGATATATTCATTTACTATAGACTTTCATTAAATCAGGGGTTGGACCTTGTTAATATTTTTCTTATGATGCTGAGTGTCCCAAGCAGTAAGGCTTTTTGGTTCCCTACTATATTGTTAAGCCGTTCTTCTTAGCAAAATCTAACAAATTTCTCTACGGTCAAATCATTGCTTGAAATGTTCTAAGAAAGGTGGGTTGCTTACTTTTGATTATGGGTCACCGATCCTCCCGTAATCGTAATAAAAATATCTTTATATCCTGTGAAATAATTTTGAAACTTATCTAGAAATTTATTTTTTAAAAACCAACAAATTTTCACGTTATATCTTAAATTTGTTTAATTATTTTGTATTTATTTATTTAGAAATATAACATTCTGCCACACGTTCAGAAATTATAGTGAGATATGAACACATTCACACCATAAATAAAGAAAACATAAAATAAACAAAAGAAAAATAACAACTAAATAATAATCAAAAAGTACATACAAAAAAATATAAAAATAACGTAAAGATAAGTAAATTAAAAAAATAAAACACAGTCATACCTATACACAATCAGGCAGGGAACCCCAAATAAGGCTTGTCCCTCCAACTATAGAGAGAAAAGCAGGATTCCAAGAGATCCCTAAGCTACTCTCTCAACGGCGTCAATGGTGCTAAAGCCGGTGGAGATAAGTTATTAAATTTATTATATTTTTCTAGTTTACAAACACTATGTTTAAATCAATTGTTTACTAAACCAAATCGATTTTGTTTTCTTGTTCTAATTTGAATACCTCTAAAACCTCACTTCCTATGAACTTAAAGGTAGCCAATGATTTTTTTTTTACTTTATGAGTTTTAGAACTTGTGTTTATAGGTATTAGATAGTATGATATTATTATTATCTGGAATGTTCTTGCTGATCGTTTTGAAGGATGGAATTTTCTAAGTTCTATATTCCGAAACATTTTTAAAAAATTAATAATGTGGTTATCTTAGTTCCTGTTTCGAATTAATCGTTGGAAATCAAGTGATTACAAATATAATATTAAATAGCAAACTGTTTTTCAAGAATCTTTAGTAAGAGTTATTATGATGAATGAAAAATTGTTGATTTTTCTTAAAGGTAAGACTTCTGGATAATCAACAAAAATGTATGTCTTAATAAATATTTACGAGCATGCGAGAGTGCGACTTGGTGCGGTTGTGACAATTTTCATTGAATCGCCCTCAATTTTGTTATTATATCAATTTGATGAAAGGTGTTTTTTATAGCTAAGTGTACACTTGACTACGTATAATTAATAAAGTTTCCTCCGTGAGTGCAATGGTTATCTCATACGAGCAAATTAGGAAAACAAAATGCGAGGCTACCTGTTAACCTGAGGATTAAGAGTTAGAGTCTTGATGCCGAGAGATTTATCTCTTGCCAGAGATAAATATATTCCTATAATAAATATAAAATAATTCCCCGCCCTCCCTCCTGGCTTGGAAAAAATCAAAAGGAAAGTTAGTGGAGAAAAGAAAAAAAAAAAAAAAAATATATATATATATATATATATATATATATATATATATATATATATATTTAACGATGCGAGTTGGAATACGGAGTATCAAACCTCTTCAGATTAGTATCAGGAGTATGTTAGTAGTATTTATAGGACGTATCAATTAACTTCTACGATTTATAGATTATTTTCTAAAATCCTTTTTGTGTTCTCAGTACAACTGAACACTTAGTATCCTGCTGCCGCTTTTACATCATGAATATTTAAATGTTTTTGTTTTTTAAATCCAAGGTTGTATTATACCACTTTCTTAGTAAATAGATATTCATTCTATAAGAACTTCTGAGCCAGAACCGATGTCGGAATGATTGCTTAATCGTCTGAAATGATTGTGTGTTTTAAGGAACCACACAATCTACTTCACAAACACAGTGATTATTTAAGATTACCATTTGAATACCTCGTCGATAAGTAGATACAGATTGTTATAGCATTGACCTATAATAATATACCTTTCCAGAAGAAACATCATGTGTCGAGAATCACCTATTGTTTACTTTAGATCTGAACATAACCATCTCATAGAACATCCCCATTGTCTGTCGTGTCTAATAAGCAGCCGCCAGGACGAACAAATCAGACTCTGACAGGAGCCTAAGAGATGCTGAAGGATAATGTAAATAACAACCTGCCATGACATGAGGACTTTCTAAGCTTCCATCCTAGTCCCTAATTACTCTTCGAGCCAGGGGATGACTTCTTACAAAACCGGCATGTTAGTTCTTATGCTTTCCAATCTGTAGAAACCTACAGTTTTTGCTGCCCAGCATAGATTCCTTTTTTAAAAAAAACTATTATATCCATCATTTAATGAAATTC